CCCAGAACCGGCATACAACACCATGACCATCCCTTGGGTAGTGCGCCGGCAGTGCCTGTAATAGTACCATGTGTCAGCCCACCTTGGCAAAGGCTCGAACAGCAGACTCTTCCTGTCTGAATTCCACGGGCTCGTCGGCAGAGTTGTTCCGTCCAAGAAAGCACAGGAAACACTTCTTTTGCAAACTCGTTTTGTAATACAATCTCACAAAGGTTCCGCTGTACACGGACTCATCAGTGCTTTGGTTCCATTGATTTCAGGTTGGACAAACGACTTCAAGTTTTTGGAGCCTACGACCGGACATAACTGGAGGCCTTTCCCTTGCCAAGGGAATGCTCTACCACCTGAGCTACATGGGCTCACGGGGAAATTGGAGACGATCGGAGTTGAACCAATAACTTGCCTTACTTTCTAGGTGACTAGAAATGGGAAACTCCACTGTATGCGGGAAACTGAGTGTATGTCCAGCCGTGCGTCAATCTAACACCCTGCCAGTGTCCATGCGCAAGGTTGCAATTGAGTTTTGAACCCGCAACCTCATACCTCAATGCGCATTTCCAACCGGTGCTCTAACCACTGAGCCACATCGACTTACTGCTCGCTCCCACACGTTTGCCACCCTTGGCGCACGCAGTGCCACCGCCCTGTGTGATATGCTTCTGTTTTGCGCCGGCAGGTATGCCGGGGGCCTGGCAGATTGGAGTCCAAAATAGGCCTTTAAAAAAAAAAAGGTAGGTACAGCACCAGGACTTCCCAGGACTTCCCAGGAGGTCACCCATCCCAGTACTACTCCGGCCCAACGGCGCTTTGCTTCTGAGTTCGGATGAGATCGGGCGCATTAGCCATGGTATGACCGTACCATGCTGTGTTATTGGACAGCAATCGTCGAGTTCGTGTGGGCTCGGGTGCAACTCGAGGCAGTCAAAACGCCCACAGACACCCCCCGGGCACACACAACAGACCCCACAAACTTGAGTTTTGCTTGTTTGAGATCAGGGCAATCGCTCCTTCCCTCTACGCCCTCCCTCGGATTTTCCGGACCCCTTCCCTTCTCATGCCCTGTCTCTAACAAAGATTCTGTCTTGAGCGTGATACTTTCCTTTGCAAACCTCACAGGCTTTCACAAAGCGGAACACCTCCCTGGAGCCCCCTGGGGAGGACCCCGCCAATGCCTTTTTCTATTCTTTTTTMTGTTGGGGTTGTYAATGCTGACCTTTTGAGTATTCTGGAAGAAACTGAGCATGRGGGTTCTGAATGCAACTGAGCATGGTTTTGGAGTGAGTTGCTCCTCTGATTAGTATCAGTCCCTGGTATCAGTCCCTAGCTGTCTATCTGACGCCCTTCTTATAAGGGTGAAGAGATACAAAAGAGATTGGATGCCCTGCATGCTCACACAAGGCTACTTCGCTGGATATTACACAGGACCTGCTCAGTCAATCCCCTGGGTTTCAGGGCAATCAATGCTGGCAGACTCCATAGCCACTATTTTCATAGGGTCTGCTCAGTCAATCCCCTGTTTTGCAGGGTAATCAATGCTGGCAGATCTCACAGTCACTGTTCTCACCTTCTCAAGATATTTTTTCATACAAGGGACGCTGGACCCGTTTTCCAGCAGGTGACGCTCCCCACTAATAGATGGAGCCTCTCCCCAGGTGTTAGTGGTGTCTGCTCTTACCAGCAGCACTAACACTGGTGGGGGTGTGTTTTTTTTCAAAAAAAAAGAAAAAAAAAAAAGGAGATGAGGGGAATTGTCTTTGGGGGAAGGAGGGAGGGAGGGAGGGAGGGAGGAGGGAGGGAGCGAGGGAGGGCGGGCGGGGGGTGAACCTAGGGCCCTTCGCCTATAGCTTAAGCCGCGGAAATGCCCAGAGTGGCCATCCCACAGAGGTTGGCAGCCACAGGTAAATTGCGTGTCGCCGCGATGCCTCCATTTCTGCAATCAGACTCGACTCTTTCACACTTTTCATGCACGTGAACAGCAGCACAACAAACTGGCGACATGCACCCACACTGTACACAGAGATATGGCTTCCAGGTAAGTTCACTTCCACTGGCTCTGGCGACTGAGCGCCCAACATCCACTGTTCACACACTGGATCACCCTGGATATCCCACACACGACACTCTGCACACTCACGCAACACGCACACACACTACTACCATAGCTATGGCAGCGCTAGCTGCCACTACCCTATCGCTATACTATGCTTCTCTGCCCACTTCGACTTCGGGCACACTGCAGACCTCCTCGCACAAGACGCTGAGGCAGCGCTTCCGCATGGCTTCTGCAGGAATGAATGAATGGCTGTGCGCAGCCTCTTGATTTATACTTATGTGCCTCGTTGGTCTGCCCTGTTTCCCTGGCCCACGATGTGCCCAGTCCCAGACGGTACTTGCTTGACTGAACCGGACTGGCTGGACTGGGACTGCTGACTCTGCGTGGTGGACTTCCACCACTTGCCCACTGGCCTCTACCTAAACTGGGGCTGACTCTGAAAGGCCACTTCTAGAAACATCTGTTTGGCCTTTCGGTACTGTAGCAGCTACGACTCTACCCTTTCAGGTAAGTAGCAGCTACGACTTTGACCCTTCAGACAGTCTACAGCTACGACCTCTGGACTGTCTAGACCCCTACCCGACAGATCTACAGTTCGAATCCCCTATACCGTGTAACCTACGAGATCCTACCTACCACTGGCGGCCCTACAGGTCACAGGTTCAAATCTATAGGTTGACATAGGTATTGTACACAGGTAAGGTGGGGAACTAGGGATCGAGCCCTGGGATCTGCATCAGCTACTGCAAACTGGTGAATACCGTTTCACTCCCGCCGGCCTAAATTCGAGGTCCTCTGAGAAAATTTCAGTCTAAGGCAGGACCTCTACCTTTTTGTTGTCTCTCGTAGGCCCGGACTATATCGGGAGCTGTCTCTAGAAGTTCAGATCTCGTAAACCAACGGTCGTCTTCCGGCTCTTGATAAGCAAAATGAACCTTGTACTGTTTCTGTGGACGACCTCTACCTCCAGTCCTGAATACATCTTCAGCCACTATGCCATCGATGTCATACCTTCCATCCATATCTGGTGGAATCATAGACCTACGGAATGGAAACTGATCACTTGTTTGACAAGGTAACAGCTTCGATGCATGGAAAACTGGGTAAGTGTGGAGGTGTGCTGGGATTTCTATGGTATAGGACGGTCCATCTTCGCCGCCCTTGACTTCCAGAACCGGCCACGGGCCTCTATACGTAGGCAGTAACTTCTGCGAAATGTTCTCTTCAGGCGCAAACTCTTTAGACTGGACCCAGACTAAGTCACCTACTTGAAATTGTGAAGGGCGATCGTGCGGTGCTGGGCCTTCCTGAGATTTTCAACGACAGTTGCTATCTCTTTCTCGTGCTGAATCGCAAACTCCCTTGTACCGGGCGGTAGCCTGTGAATCTGATCCCGGTTAAGCCCTTCAAATGGTCTTTGTGGTCTAAAGGACTTATGGAGCTCGTTGGGAGTGCGGCAGGTTGACAGGTGCAGGCTGTTGTTGTATGCGTTGGCTACCTTGGGCAGCATCTCATCCCAATTGACTTGATCAGGTCTAATGTACATGCGCAGGACTTGCTGTAGGATCTTGTTCATCTGTTCGGTCTGACCATTCGTCTCCGGATGACGGCCAGATGACATTAACAACTTGGATCCGTAGACTCGCATCAATTCCTGCCAGTTTAGACTTGTGAACCGGGTATCTCTATCACTAACTATAGACAACGGAATCCCGTGTTCACTGACCCAGTGATCAAAGAACTTCAGAATTACTAATTCTGTTCTGGCTTCTGACGGCAAGGGAACAAAAATAGCATACGTACTAAATCTGTCTACCACGACCATAACTTGGCTCTTGTCATGCCTACTCTTAACGCCGGTGTCCATGAAGTCAATGGACACCGCATCTCTTAGCTGATCAGGGATAGGTAAAGGTCTGAGAAGACCTAAAGGGGCACGCGTAGTGGACTTATTCCTCTGGCAGACTTTGCAACTGCGAACATACTATGCAGTCATTTTTCATTCCTGGCCAGGTGTACGCTTGCATCAGGTTGGCTAAAGTCTTCTGACAACCAAAGTGTCCTTCGGTGTCGTGACATTCCCCCAAGATCAGACTCCGGATCTCTTCACTGTTGGGGACACACAAACGGTCTACTACGTTAGTCTTCTCAAACAACAACCCATCAGTAGTGCGGTAATATGGTTCGGACTCTGGGGCTTCCTTAACTCTCTTAAGGAGCTCACTATAGATGGGGTCCTGTGCGTACGCCTCTTTAACTTTTTGTTGTAGGTTTGACCCCATATCTAGATAATGGACTATGGCCCCAAAGTAATCAGCTCTCCTACTCAGAGCGTCCGCAACTACGTTATACTTCCCTTTGACCGGCTTGAGCTCAAAGTCATATTGATCTATTTCTGCGGCCACGCCCACTTGTAACCCAAACCCACGCCAAACCCACGCCCACTAGTAACCGAAACCCACGCCAAACCCACGCCCACTAGTAACGCAAACCCATGCCAAACCCACGCCCACTAGTAACCCAAACCCACGCCAAACCACCTAGTAAGCTTAGATGTCATCTTGGCTTGCGTCTTTAACCATCACAATGTCTCGTGGTCAGAACAGACTTTGAAGTGCCTCCCAAGCAAGTAATGCTTCCAGTGTTCTAATGCTTGCCTGAGAGCGTAGAGTTCCCTCTCATAGGTAGATGTCACAACCTTCTCTGAAGGCATCCTAGCGGACATGAACTCTACGGGTCTATAACCATTGCCATCGTCTTGCTGCAACACCGCGCCTATGCCGTACTGGCTAGCATCCGTAGTGACGACAAAGGGCAAGGACGGATCGGCTACCTTAAGGACTGGATATTCTATTAGTGCCTGCTTCAGCTTCTTCATAGCAGATGTGCAGTCCTTATCCCACTTCCAGATGGTTTCTTTCCTCAACAATCTGTGAAGGGGCTCAACGATCGTGGTGAAGTTCCTCACGAACTTCCTATAGTAGTTGGCTAAGCCCAAAAACGATCGCAACTCTGTTAGCGTACGTGGCGTGGGCCAATCTCTAATCGCTGCGATTTTACAATCTTCTGCTTAACGTCGTCTCCGTCTAAGACGTGGCCTAGATATAAGACTTGGGTCTTCGCCCAGTCGCACTTTTGTTCATTGATCTTGAAGTTAGCTTCTCTCAGCTTCTCCAAGACCTGCCTGAGATGACCCTGATGTTCTTGGAGGGTCTTACTAAACACTAAGATATCATCTAAGTAGACAACAACAAACCTATCTAACCATGGCCTAAACAAATCGTTCATACAGCGCTGGAACGTCGCTGGCGCATTGGTTAGTCCAAAGGGCATCACTATAAACTCATAGTGCCCATATCTAGTCCGGAAGGCCGTCTTATACTGATCATCAGGATGCACCTCTATCCGATGATATCCGGACTTCAAATCTATCTTGGAGAAATACTTTGCCCCGTGCACTCGATCTAAAAGATTGTCTATCCTAGGCTGTGGCTCAACATTCTTCACTGTAACAGCATTCAGACCCCTATAGTCTATACACATCCTTAGCTCTCCCTCTTTCTTGGGGACAAAGAGAACAGGCGCTCCAAAAGGAGACGAGTTGGGCCTAATCCAACCCTTTTCAAGGAGCTCCTCTAATTGATTGTGAAACTCCTCTAACTCCCGCGGGGACATCCTATACACGGCTCCTTTGGGAGTTCTACTGCCAGGCTCTATCTCAATGCGGTGCTGGATAGGCCACGGTACTACTCCTGTCGGCGGCTCAGCTAGGTCCTTGAACTCCTCCAGCAGCTTGGCAATCGTAGGGTTAGGCTTCTCTTCCTTAGGCTCAGTTACTGGCCTTACATAGGCTACAAAAACTTGTTCTTCTAGGTGCTCCTTCTTCACGAGCCTCGCGAATGCAGGTGCACTGAGGCAGCAATGTGCCAGAGGGTTCTCTACTCCGGATACATGGAACAGACGGGCAGTCTTAGCCTCGCCCGAAGGACTAGGGAGCCAACACTCGTGCTCCTTCAAACGGAGTGTGGCCCCGGCTGCCTCTCCCCAATCCATCCCCAGGACAATATCAAATGGGAGGCTGTCTTCTACAAGGAGACTTAGGGAGTGGAAGACCTTCTCCACTTTCCCATCTTTCTCTAGGCGGAAATACGCCTGGACTCCCTCTACATAATCCTCTACAACCATCGTACAGTTGTCTGCGAGGATACTGACTATAGGGTCTGCTAACTTTTGAACTTTTAAGTCCCAGCTTCAACTTCTGCAACGCTTTTCTACTAATATAGCTGCGGGTAGCCCCTGAATCTACTAGGGCCCCTACTCTACTTCTAAAAATCTCTACATCTACCAGTATTAGCTGTCCTTTCTGTTCTTTCTTCATCTTGGCCCAGGCGGGCATCCTCTCCTTCAATTCTTCGGCCACGCCTGTGAGGGAGGTGTCTAGAGAGACTCTAACACAAGCAGTCTTCGGACAGCTGTCTAGACACCGGCGTGCAACCTCTGCCATAGGCATATGTGGTGTGGGAGTCTCCTGTCGGCTAACGCTATGTTCCCCACATGGCCTAATGGTAGGGGCAGTTGCTACCCCTACCGGCGGCTGCCTTTTGGCCCTTGAGCAGCCGTCCGGGTCTCTCTATACTTAGGACAGTATTTAATGATATAGCCCGGGTCACCGCAGAAAATGCACTGGCCCCGATCCAGACGCTGTTGCCATAAGCTCTGGTCCAGACCCAAACTTTCCCAAGGCCTACCCTGGGGTAGCCCTGTGTGCCATCCACCTACCCTATAGGGAGACCTATTCCTAGGACGGTTTTGCGGGGGACCTTGACCCCTTCCTCCCGCTTGGCGGTTTCCTCCTCTGCCGCCAACCCCTGATCGCCCTGAAACCGGCTCCCTGAGGCCCGGCCCCCTTGGCCCTGGCCTCGTCCTCCTCCTTGCGGCCTCCCTCCAGCCGCGGCAGCAGCGTAAGTCCTCCCCTGGCTCACACCGCTGTCCTCCTCCTCTAACCCCCACTCAATCTGCTCGTAGGGGATCTCATCCACACTACCCTCATCTAAGGTCAGGACAAGGTTGTCCTTGGTCTTTACCTGCCCGGAGATAGTGCGGCCTTTCCATTGCTTTCCCTTATCTAAGTCTTTGTGCCAGAAAGTAGACACTGACACAGACTTGGCTTCAAAAGCCACCACTTCACGACTAAGGCAATCATACGTAGTGGTGGGATCTTCGCTTTTCGCGAAGAAATGCCCTCGAAAGGCTTCGGGCATAGCCCGATAGAAGAGGCCGACCAATTGGGTCTCTGTGACCCCATGGTCAGGAACAACCACTAGCTCATCCATGACACCCTTAAGTGCTCTGGCACTCTTCCATTTGCGAGAATGGATTGTCTGCAACTTATCTGAGGCTCTGACACTGCGAGCGACATCAGCGAATCGCTCACACAACAATTTCATGAACTCAGTGAGGGGGTGAATGACGGACAAGTAACTGCATCATCATTGCAGTTGGCGGCGCGTACTAGGGACCTTGCAAAATTGGCAGCTTCATCTCTAAGCGCGTGGATCGCAATCAAGACATGCTGATCTGGGGAAGAGGAAGAAGACCTGTTGCAGATGCACATAGGTCTTGACATTGGCCTCCCAGTTGTCAAAGTTTTCTTCCCTCTTTCCACTGTAGGAATCAGGGAACTTGACTTTGACTGGCTCCCTACGAGGACGCGGCTCGCCCTCCTTGGGAGCTGCCACCTTGACGCCTTCAATGGCGCCGACACAAAAACGCGCGGTCTTTTCGAGGTGATGATTCACCTCGGCTCCCACAGCGCCTACCAATTCGCGGGCAAAGTCACGGAATCCCATCCGCATCGAACGCACAGCTATATCCTGACTTCGGCTAAACTCGTATTGTTGTTCTTGCACTCTGGCTAAACGCTTGACGCTCTGGGCGATGATCTCCACCTTTGGTTGGAAGTCTACCTGGGGGGTCAACTGTGTAGTTAAAGTCCGTACCTCCGCTAATTCCTGCATTGCTGCACTCGCCGCCTCCACTCTTCTCTTCTTCTCCCTCATCATTGCGAGTTTCCACTCCATCCTCGTTTCATCTTCCATCGCCTGCTGCTTCAGAACATCTTCTTCTGCTTCCCATTTTTTCATAGCGGCTTCCTGCTCATCCTTGGGGATGTACATAGTTACCTCTTCTTCTTCGCCCAGGGATAAGTTGGCGACCCACTCCGAAATCCGTTTCTCCATCTCTTCATCCTTGCTGCCACTGTGCTGCCCTCTCCTCCTTTGCAGTGGCGGTTCGTCTTCTTCTTCCTCTTCCACCTCCTTCAACTTCTCTTCTTCTTCCTTCTTCAACCTCTCTTTTTCTCTGGCCATCTCCTCTATCTTTTTCAACTTTGCCGCCTGCTCCTCCTGCTGGGCCTTCTTCTTGGCCTCCTTCTCCTTTCTCTCCTGCAGGATGGCGACCATCTTCTCCTCCTCCTCCTTCGTGTAAGGTTGGGTGGAAGTGCCACCCCGGGTTCCTACTCTACACGTGAAAGTGGGCCAAAAGCCCAGAGGAAAGAGGAGACGCCAAAGGGTCCCCCAAAGGGAGAACCCAACGAGCAACCCATACATCGGATAGTCGTCCATAGTGGTGCCAGGTGCACAACAACATTCTCACTCCTCACCACTTGGACCTACCCGGACACTTACCCACTGATTGACTCTCTAAGGACCACAAGGTAGAACCCTGTCAACTATGGCCACTAATCTAAACCTACTCTAAGGCTGTCACTACTGAACCAACAACTGATCTGGAGGCATTTAAAGAGATCCCCCAAACTCCGCAAGAATTCTTTAACGTCGTAGACAGGACGACGTGATCAGCTTGATTCTTGCCTGTGCTTTCAGCCCACAACTCAGCCTTTCCGGCCTACTATGCCACACCGAGCAGCCTGCCGGTCTGTACCGGTCCTTGGGAGGGTTCGTATCCCCCGGGACAGTCGAGTCGTCAGACACAGATCATCAGCCTTACTAGGTCCGGTAGGGGAGTGGTTCAAACAGGCCCTCAACACTTAAAGACTGCCTGGTGTGTCATCCTTAGCTGCCGTTCAGGCCCACTGAGTCCTACCACCGTTTCCAGCCGGTCAGCACCGGTCCTTGGGAGGGTTAGGCCCCCCTGGAAAGTTGGATCAGCCACAGCATCAGCCCTACAAGGTCAGACTAAGGTTTCGTCATCCAAGCACTATCCTTCATCCACAGAGTGCTACAACTTAGGACAGAAGAGACTCGATGCAGAAAGGAAAGACAAACAGACTCAGACTCAGCAAGTACCGTGGGGTGAGTGCACATCCACAGGGTGAGGGGGTAGGCTAGGGGCTTGGCGAGGCATTACCAACTCCAGCTTGGTCCAAGTCTTGGTCAACGGCGCGGGTCACCTCCTCGGTCAACGCTGGGTCAACGCTGCAAGCCCCTGGTCAACACCTCGGTCAACCTTCCGGTCAACGCCCGGTCAACCCTCTGGTCAACTCCCGGTCAACCCCCCGGTCAACTCTCACCTCGGCTATGGCTGCCGGCACCTTCACCCTCGCCACCCTTGTCTTCTCCTTCCTTCTCCTTCACGTTCCTTTCTTTCTTTCTCTTTTTTTTTTTTTTTCCCTCGGCTATGTCTGTCTTCTTCTCCGATGTCCCTCCTTCCACACTTCTCCTTCTATCTCTCTCCTCGGTCCCTCCTTCTCTGTCCTCCTTCGTCACTCTGTAATACAGCTCTGAGGCTATGGCCGCTTTCTTCCTCCTTCGTGGGTCTGCGCAGCAACTTCACAGGTACGTAACAGCCAATCTTGAATCGCTCATCTCTCTCTCTCTCTCTCTCCCTCTCTCTCTCTCTCTCTCTCGCCGTAGCGGTATCTTCAGCGCAGCAGGT